ATTAGTGGAACAAACTAATAAACTCCATTTGGCTTTGTTAAATGCTTAAATATTTAAATTTAAAAAGATAATATTCTATTTATATCTCGAATATAGGTATTCTGTAAAGATTGGAGTTAACAGTTTTCTATATTTTTTCATGTTTGTACCATTTTTGTATCAGCCTAATGCAGAATAATGTTGAAGAACTAATTTAAGTACAATTTATACATTTTACTGTCACCAAAAAGCTGAAATGTACATGAGCAAAACATGATAATGAAAAAAGTCATTCAAAAATATGTCATAGAGCTTTCTGCTCCAGGGTACAAGATTGGTGCAACCAAGTTGGGCCCAGCAGTGTGAAGACTGAGCTTCCTCCCTTCTCACTGAAAGTGGAGTAGGAACAGCAAGTGCTGATTGGGTCAAGAGTCTCTTCCTATGATCAGTGCTCAGACTTTGTCTGGCCTCTAAGCCTCTGCAAGCCTCTTGCAGCCATTGGGTTCTTCTAACTTAGCAGATTCCAGCAGTAGCTGGTGAGGATGCAAAAAAAGGGGAACCCTCCTACACAGTTGGTAGAAGTGTAAGTTAGTGCAGCCATTATGGAAAACAGTATGGAAGTTCCTCAGACAAGTACAGATAGAACTGCCACACTATCCAGCAATCCCACTGCTAGGTATATCACCAAAGGAATGGAAAGCATAATGTCAAAGGGATACCTGCACTCCCATGTTTATCGCAGCTCTACTTACAATAGCCAAGAGTTGGAACTAACCTAAATGTCCAACATTGAATGACTGGATAAGGAAAATTTGGTATATATACACAATGGAATACTACTCAGCCATAAAAAAGAATGAAATTCTGCCATTTACAGCAACATGGATGAACGTAGAGAAAATTATGTTAAGTGAAATAATCCAGGCAAAGAAGGGTAAACACTGCATGTCCTCACTCATAAGTGGGAGCTAAAAAAAACAAACAAAGCAATTTTTTAAAGTAAAACATATGATAAGAACAATAATTCATTGAACTTTCAAAAGGAGACAATGGAACTGAGGCCACCAGAGGTCGGAAAGTGGGGAAGGTGTTAGTGAGAAATTGGTAAAGGGCCACAAAAAAAGATTACATTGTGTAATGTTGAATACAGTAATTATCCTGATTTGAGCATCACATATTGCACAAAAGTCTTTAGATTCAATGCTGTACCCCACAAATATGTACAATCATTTATTAATAAAAAAATAAATAATACATTAGATTTCCTTTTCCTTTAAAAAAAATACATCATAAGGAGACGTCTCTTCTTACTTCCATTAATTCCTCCCTTCCGTGCACAGAAATACCGGTGGTTATGCACACATACATGGATGCAAAAGCCTGTGGGTTTTATAGAAGACACACCAACATTTCATTAAAAATTTTGTATTCATTAACTTTTGAAATTATATCTTAAATATTTTCCATAGCCTTAAATTATTCCTACACAATCACATCAAGTTAAATAATAGTAAGAATACTAGTCTATTTTGTGAATGCATGTGTGTGTGTGTGTGTGTGTGTGCATAGTGACCTTTTATGCAGTTCCGTGTTGTTAGCCTTGAACATGTTTCAGGTTTTCTTTGTTAGGTAACTCTGTCAAAGTACTTTTGATTCTGTATGTATTACTTAACTGTTTGATTCTTTAAGTTCAATTCTAAAGCCCGACAGCCTGGGTTCAGATGTTTGCTCTGCCGTTTTAAAGCTGTTTGACCTGAACCAAGTTTCTCAGATTGTCTGTGCCATATTTGTCTCCTAGTAACATAGGAATAGATTTTTCTCTCATAGGCTATTGTGTTGTTGTGTAATTTATTACATGTAAGTCATTTAGAACAATGCCTAGTACATGGGAAGCGATGAAAAACTTTAATCATTGCTCTTGCTATCATCATCATGGTTTTTATGTTTTGACCTTTCTTTAAAGCCGCTTAGTACCAGCCAGCCTCCCAAAATAAATAAATGAAGCCACTGTGGACTTCATCATCTCTGAAGACACCACTCATGCTCTACCTCATATAGATACTGAATATCACTTCATGTGTTGAACAGACTATCTCATACTATAAAGGTAATGATGTGCTGATGTTTTATTTGTATAGATCTTGTATTGTTCACATAAATGAGAAATCCACACTGATTTAGAAGATATAATAACCTCCTGTGGAAATAAATATAATAAAATAAAATTAGAGACACATAATTTGTAACACACATTTATAAATTATTATATTTCTATAGATATGGTTCTATTTAGACTTCTCATCCTTGCTGGAAGCAGGGGTATACTTTAAATACTTTATAAAGCATATTTACCTACAGAAATTCCATATCATCTAGACTTCCAAATTACTTGGGGAAAAAGAAAAACACTTCTTTTTTATGTTTTTAAAGTTGGTCCAGGGCCGACCCGGTGGCGCACTGCGACAGTGCACCGCTTGGGAGCACGGCGGCGCTCCCACCAAGGGTTCGGATCCCACATACAGACTGGTTCCCGCTCACTGGCTGAGCGAGGTGTGGGAGCAACACCAAGGGTTGCGATCCCGTTGCTGGTCCCGGTCCGATACAGGCACGACACTGAGGGTTGTGATCCATTGCCGGACACGAAAAAAGACAAAAAGGAAATAAATAAATAAATAAATAAATAAAGTTGGTCCAATTTTTATTTGTAGACATCTCATTAGTCTAAAAACCAATAGCTTCTAAAGCAAATTATCATCATCATCTTTACTTATTTCTCCTTGAGAATCCTTCCCAGGGAATTTGTTCTAATTATCTGCTCATAACTTAAATTACGGGACAGCACAGTGGTCTGAAATTTTTTTAATAAATAAAGAAAACCTCACTTATCAGTAGAGAAACTTCCCATGGAGCACAAAATCCAGTGAGACACCTGTGCTTGAGCCAGTCCCTCATGTGTCAGACCTCAGCTCAATTAGCTATTAGCTCAATGTGAGACCATATCTGCCTCCAGAGTTCAAAGAAATGAAAGAGCTTCTCCCAAACACAATAATAGTCTCTGGAGAAAACAACAAACTTGTAATTGGTTTGTGGTAATTAGTAACTGGGAAAAAAGTTTTTCACAAATACTCTCATTTTCCCAAGATTGTCCTTTTATTACAGTTAACAAGTGAAAAGATAATTGCACTTTTGAGGGGAGGGGAGGTCATATAATCACAAATCCATATCTCAGAGACTGGCTGTCTCTCTTCCTTGCACATGAGTACTGGCTGTTGTGACCATCATACTGAGCCCTCAATCCTTGTAGTCAGAGGAGTTGAGTGAATATTTTTCATTTCAGTCTGAGACACAGTCTGCAACCAAGGATGCTAATCAGAAGTGTGGGTAAGTGATCTTGTAAGAATCAGGGATTCCTCATGATGAGAACCTGGCCCAATGCCATAGCCACCCAGGAAAGAGGGATGATTCTGAGACATGAGATATAGTGGAAAGATGAGGTCTTCGACCCTACACCAATCCCTGATGGCATTTAATGTAGCCAAAATGACACTGATTGTTGGTGTTTAATTCAATGAAAACTGAATTGTAATGTGCTTAAGGACTTATGTTTCAAAATTAATCTGCTCTTCAGTCCACCCTATGAGGATCACATAGTAAATTTTCAGCATTAGTAAAAGTGCACTATAATAGCACCATGCTTTTAATACAGATAGGATAAATTCATAGAAATCACCAAATCCTGTGCAGAAATGGTGTATCCAAATGGCAGTTGCTGGAATAGGAGTGTTTTCTGTAATTCTGGATGCATGAATTGCTTACTAGAGACAGCGGTTGTTTTCTACTGAAAACATCCATAGTCTCTTGATATTGGGAGACTCTTTTCCATCTTCAAGTTAAAAAAGCATCATTTAAAGAAGTGGGAACATCAGGAACTGGGTTTTAGATAGCAGCTGCCAGACACGAAAGTTTCTTATGATATATTCTCTAATCTAAACATATTTTCTTATCAATTACAAGCTCTATTATTTCGACTTATAAAATACACATTTTTAACACCTTAGATATATCCTTTTGTGAATGAGGTTTATATTTTAATGTTTCACAAAGCATGCATTATTGCAACTATTTTTACTTCAGTCAGGTATTAATAAACAGATAAGTAAATAATTTGAAGTTAGTAGCATTTACTTCCTCCCCTACACTATTTTATTATATGTTGGTGCTTCATGTCCCATAGTTGAGGGCACAACACAGTGTTCAGTAATTCTTGTGATAGCTGCCATTTGATTTTTTACATAAAAACAAATCTTTCTGTTACCATTTCAATATAGAGGAAATTGTATATTCTTTAAATATAATTATTCATTGCGCAGTTTCCTATAGAGTTCTATTTTTATATTATTCTGCATCTATATCTTGTTAAGGTATCTAAATCTTATTCATAATTGGTATTGGGTTATACAATGAATCTTTACACATAAATGAAAACCTGTCACAAACAGTGTTTTTAAAAAAAATACTGCCAAAGTAAAATAATAGGACGAGAAATAAAAGCAACTAAATGTACATCTGTATTACTTGAAGAACACAGCTAAATAGTTCTGTAGTGTAGTGTTTAAATGCACTGCTTTTTTTTACCAACTCTGCCAGGTTCAAGTCCCCACTTTGCCCAAAAATAGTTATAAACTTAGGCAAACCGTTAACTTTTTCTACATAAGGGTTCCTTATCTTTTCAAAGAAAATAATACTACTGTCTGTTTTATCGAGTTATGAAGAATACAAGATTACTGCATGTACTGCCTTTATAACAGTGATTCATATTTTGTAGTGCTCTTTAAAGGTGATATACTCAACTTGATAACATAGATAAAAAGACAAATTAAAGTAAATATTTCTAAGTGGAAACTATGTAAGCAGAGCATATTGAATTTTAGTTGACCTTAATACATGTAGTACATGCCTCATATTTCCATGCAGGAATGTCTGTCTCTGAAGACCATTATTAGACACTGGAAACTGATAGAATGGCCACCAGCGATTTGGGAATAGGAATGATCTTTTTATTACAAACTATAGCTGGAATCCTGGGGAATTTCTTTCTTCTTTACCATTATCTCTTCCTCTACTTCACAGAATGGAAGTTGAGATCCATAGATTTGATTCTCATGCACCTGACTATAGCTAACTGCTTAGTCATTCTCTCTAGAGGAATCTCTCAAATGATGGCAAGTTTGGGGATAAAAGATTTTCTCAATGATATTGGATGCAAACTTGTTTTTTATTTTCACAGAGTTGGCAGGAATGTGTCCGTTGACACCACCTGCCTCTTGAGTGTCTTCCGGGTGATCACAATCAGTCCTAGAACCTCCAGATGGGAAGAGCTTAAAGTAAAAGTTCCCAAGAACATGGGCACCTTTAACATCCTCTGCTGGACCCTGAACATGATGCTAAATATAATGGTCCCTGTGTATGTGACTGGAAAATTGAGCAACAAAAATATCACAAAGAAAACTAATTATGGCTACTGTTATGCTCTAAGTCACGGCAAATTCACGGAGTCATTGTATATATCATTGGTATTATTTCATGATATATTCTCTTTTGGACTCATGGTCTCTGCCAGCAGCTTCATGGTTTTCATTCTACACAGGCACAAGCAGAGGGTTCAACACATTCATAGGACCAGCATTTCCTCCAAAACCTCCCCTGAATCCAGAGCTACCCAAAGCATCCTTGTCCTGGTGAGCACCTTTGTGTCTTTGTGCACTCTCTCCACTGTCATTCACATTTTTTTGTCACTTTCTAATAATCCCAGTTTGTGGCTGTTGAACACCACTTCACTAATTGCTGGCTGTTTCCCAACTGTCAGCCCCTACATTCTTATGAGTCATGATTCCAGAGTATCGAGGCATTGTTTTGCTCAGATAAGAAATACAAAATCCTCTAAACTTATTGTAAATATGTAAATTGATGTATATTCACAATGGTTAGTTATTTATTCATCAATCTCCTTGAGAGTTTAGCACATTTCTGAAGCAGTCACAGCACCAGAATGTGATAAACAAGATAGACTAAATTTCTGCTCTTAAACATGCATCAACGGAATAGTAATTGTAAATAAAATATTTTATAATTATCATGTTATATAGTTACATTATTGGAATTTTATTAATAGAGAGTTTAGCACATTTCTGAAGCAGTCACAGCACCAGAATGTGATAAACAAGATAGACTAAGTTTCTGCTCTTAAACATGCATCAACAGAATAGTAATTGTAAATAAAATACTTTATAATTATCATGTTATATAGTTACATTATTGGAATTTTATTAATGTTTCTGATTGAAGAAAAAGTCTGGAGATTATGGAGAAGTCATTGGTTGTGTAACCTTTGATCTGGCATAATAAATTTTGTCAGAAATTAATTAATTATTATTTATTATTAATTATTATTAATTAATTATTAGAATGTAGGAAATACTCCATAAAACAGGCACCATTTCAGATGACTATTAAAAATACAAAAGAAAGAAAAAAGCTCCCACAGAATAACAAATAGCATGGAATCAGCTGAAATGTAAATTCAGTTTCAGAAAGTAAGACTTGAGGACACAATATGAGTTTTATACACTACATTCATAAGTTTATTGTAGTCATTTGAAATAAGATTTTATAAAAGGAGATCAGTATATTTTAAACATTTGCATGTAGAAATGGCCAGTTTGAACTGGAGTGAGGCAGAGGAGAACACAAAAGTATGTTTTGCTATTTTTAAAAATACATCAAGTAAGTTCTACCTATGAAAACAAACATGCTGTGTTGGACAAAATTCAATGGATTCAAGAAATGTTGATGGGAGACTTTTTGCTTTTGTTAAGTGAAGATGCCAATTGGGCATGTTGGCCAGAAACAGGTCCCATGGTGCACTCTTATTTTTCTCCAATGAAGAAATAAGTTTATGGTGGAGCTTTCCATCAATCTGGAGCAGTTTGAGAACAGGCATTAGGAACCATTCTCTGTGTGTTTGTGTGTGTGTTTGCATATATACATATGTAAATGTTTTTATTTCAATGTGTTTATATATGCACAATATGTAGAGATATAAAATCAGTCAAACTATGTTTGTTTTCTATCAATCAACAATACTGGAAAATTGTGAATTAAGCAATCAAAAGTAATACTAATTAGAATAGTAACAAACTGCTTTAAACTCAAAGCCTATTTTAATCTGATATGTATATCCCCATATGTAGTGTTCTATAAGAGACATATCACAGCTATAAGATTAGTAATATCCATAAGGCCCACTTGAGCATCTCAAAGGGCTGAGACTATGTGTCACTTAGCAGTATGATACAACCCAGCCTGGGGATTTCCAGCCCTACCCTGGGGATGTCCAGGAGACAAGGCCACCTCGGCATAGAATGCAACTCTCGTAATCCGTAAAACAAAGCTTACCCTTAGAAGAATAGCTTAAACTTTCTTTATGAAAGAAACTCCTACTAAGTGACCTGGACTAAAAACAGATATAAGAAAGAGGGAAGAACCCCTCAAACTCTGAAAATGATCTTTGGTTGAAGACCTTCCCCATCAGTGGGTCATTTGACCCCCTGAGTATATTTGGCCCATGCAATGGGCAGCTTCTACCTTATGTCTTATAAGAGCACTGACAGAATGATCTGATTCAGCATCAGAAGGTGCCTAAGACTCATCTTAGATGCAAATCAAACTGAAGAGGAGAAGTCATCCCTGAAAAGCTGGTTAACTAGGACCACCAGAACCCCCAAACATGACACCTGCTATTTGTTTTACTGGTTAAATTTACATGAAATCTATTTTTCATTTTCCTCTTTGAATCTTTATGTTTTAGGTATCTCTGTTTGAAAACTCCACGTGAATTTTCTAAAACATATATGACATAAGGTTAATGTAAGAGTGTATATTGGAAGATTGGATTCATCTTCTTGTGTGCTCTTCATTTTGTGCCTATCCTATTTTTTTTATTCCTTCTACTGTTGTGGTAAAATTAAAATGGCAACATGGCCTGAAAAATTCCTGAGCAAATAAAACCAGCTGGACCTTAAAAAAACAGCCTTAATCTAGCATAAATTGCAAATGTAAGCAAAATTTAACTTGGGTCATTTCTGGTAAATGCTTATGTTAGACAGAAATAGCACTTAACCCCAGCCAATCATAAGCAGCCAACTAACATATGATTATGTGAGTAGGAACTTTCTAAAAAGGTACCCCAAAATGGGCAATTATGTAACTGCAAACCAAATTTCTTTATTTTGCTTCTGCATTTTCCCAATAGATATTCACCTCTGATATTTTGTCACTGGAACACTAAACTTCTATTGGTCTGGTGTTCCATATATTATAAATTGCTTTTTACTCAAATAAACTCTTTAAAATTTTATTATGCCTCAGATTTTTTTTTAACCATTTAATGCCAGAGATGTGGGATTCAAAGGAGACCCTCTGGCCTCCAGAAGCATCAAAGAATCAGGAAAAAGGTACCCATTGAGCCTGTTGTGTTCACTGCTATCTTCCTGTTTCTAGAGGTTATGTGCAAATCTCTCTCAAGTTTTGAGCTGTGCATTTTGCATCATGAGCTTTCTGAGTTTGAGTATTTTATTTCCAATAGAATCCAGAAGTCAAACAGGGCGTTCAACAGCTCAAACTGAGTGCTGGACATAATCTGGACTAGCTCGTCTAGTGTACTACTTTCCAGATTAGATCTGGAATCCTAATTGGGATCCAGAGGTTGAACTGGGTGTTCAACAGGAACTGGACTGGGAATTATGGATTTGTTAAGTCTGGGTGTTCTCTGTTCAGAACACCAGCAATTTTTATGTTTAAAATTATGAACATAAACCCTGTGGATTTCTAGATAAATAGGTACACCTTACCAGAGATGGTTTAAAGCTGCAGTAGCCACAATGTGGAAGTTTTAAAATCTATATAAAATTGTCATTTTATGGGGCACATTGGGAAAGAAAGATGCTGTAGATTGGATGCCCCCCCAACCTTTTTGAAGCTTATATCCCCACTGTAACTCTTGAGGGTGGGAAATCATATTATGGTAATTGAAAGGTGGGGGGTCTTGAGAAGGTGATTAGATTATAGGACCATGCCATAGTGAATTAATTAATAATGGTGGTCAAGGGCATGGTTCAGAGGGCTTTAAAAGGAGAGCACACAAAGAGTCTTTCTCTCTCTCTCTCTCTACCATTTTCTGCCATATGAGACCCCTGGGTCACTGTTGCCACCACCAAGGCCTTCAGCAAATGTGTTCCCTGGACTTTGGACTTGCAGCCTCCAAAACTGTGAGCAGTAAATTTTGTTTTCTTAAAAATTACACAGATCTAAGTATTTGTTGTAAGCAACAGAAACAGACAAATACAGAACATCAGTACCAGAGAAGTAGTGTGTTGCTTATAACAAATACTTGAAAATGTGGAAATGGCTTTGGAACTGGGTGTTGAGGAGAGGCTAGAAGAATTTGGAGAAGCAGGCTAGAAAAAACCTAGATGCCAGTGGGAGTTTAGAAGATGTTGCTTTGCCCCCCATGGATTTGTCACCTCACTTCCCCTGGGTGATGGAGATGCAAAGGATTACTCAAAGCCCATTTCTTCCGAGCAGTGAGAGGCCCTGAAGTAGTTAATCTCCCCCTGGGTGATGGAGATGCAAAGGATTACTCAAAGCCCATTTCTTCTGAGCAGTGAGAGGCCCTGAAGTAGTTAATCTCCTGCCAGAACCCTCAAGCACGAGGCATCCCTTCCTTGGGAAATTAACCCCGAATTGGGGTTCTCTTCCTGCATTTATTTTCCAGACCAGGAAGTTACAGGAAGAGAACATAGGTGAGGTTACACTTTAACAATATAGGCTGGTAACTTTCAGTGAAACAAGTCAGATGACATTTCATTAGACAATTAAGTGATCTTACAGCAATTTCTCAGTATCTTTACATAACAATCAGTAACTAGTCTGTCCTTGAGCCAGCAACCTTGCTGTACTACAAATCTATATCTTATAACAGAGACTTTGTAGCCTGAGGAAAATTTCCAGTCCTCCGCAAGGTCAATATTTGAAACTGCGAAGCTTTGGAAAACCAGGCCCTGTAAAGTATATATGCTTTATAGTATATTCCACATCTCCCACGTTTTATTCATTTAAAAGAAAAAGCAAAAGCTATAGATCAGGTTAGCACAGTTAAGACAAAAGCATTTAAAGCAAGGTTGGTATCATTTAGCATGGCAAGTCCTTTTAATTTACTTCAGGTGAGGACTGATGATGTCATCATCTCAGGGCAGCTGCAGCGGCATCACTCCAGGTGCTGTGAATTGGGTCTAATTACCAATTGTTGAAACTCTGGAACAGGATTCTTCTCTGCATAATAGTTGATTCTGAGTCCAGAGAGTTTGTTATTATTAGTTCACCTGTCCAGGACATGACTGCTTTCAAAGCATCTAGTCTTTTGTAAAATTTTTGATCAATTACAAGTCTTTTGTTTAAGAACAGGATGTCTCGTCCAAGTTGCAAACAGCATCTTTAAGGCCAGGAAAATTTAGAGAACTGCTTTTGTAGAGAAGACATTATTTCCCCCTTTATGATCAAGGCATTCCTCGTGAAAGCATTGATGATCAATATCATCATTGAAAAGGTCTTACTTTTCTTTGTATATGTCCCACGTGGCTGGGAATGCTGTTTCCCAGGTGAAGATCTGTCACACATTGGGGGGAAAGATGAACAGCAGGATGAAGCAGCAGTTTGGGCCAAATTTTTTGGCAAACATAAAAAAGGGGTCAGCAACATGGAAGTGAGACATGCTATGTTATATCCAAAGTTCTAAATTATATCCTGTTATAAAGAGAGAGTTAATTTTCATTGAAATTATAAAAATAGCCACATTGCCATAATAATTATAAGGATACTTAAAGTTATTAAATTTGGGGGGGATCAA